TGCTAAATTATAATAGCAGACCTTTATAACTTTGGAGATGTTTATATTTCGTTTATGTTTCAACTCAGTTCACTGTCCCATTCTTTGGTTATTCATTAATGCAGAATCAACTTCACATGTTCACTGAAGGGACTGATTTAGTTTGCTGGTGAAATTAGTTGACTTGTAACTACAATATAGGCAGCTTATAGTTCAATTTTTCTGTATAAAATCATATTTCTGGAGGAACTGTAAATAGAAAAATGTCCATAGAGCATGATAGTCTTATTCAAGGCATGGATTTTTGGTTACAAACTATATAAATAGTGGTTTTCTAGCATTCTCTACACTAAAGTTAATATGTTGTCATGTTTAGCGGTCTTGAGGCACTCGAGGAAGAAGTTTACCACTTATTATATTCTTCCCTTATTTTTAGAATCTACCAAAAATGAGACCATCACAAAATTTCTACAGCTGTGTATATTTCCTCGATGTATTTTTTCAGCAATTGATGCTGTTTACTGTGCTCGTTTTGTTGAATTGGTACATCAACAGAAAACTCCAAATTTTTCCACACTTCTTTGCTATGATCGAGTAAGTTCTTTTTATTGCACCCTTTAAAAAAAGTCTCACACAAAGAAAGCTAAGCGTTGTAATCTGTACAGGTATTATTGTGTGTGTGGTTAGAAGCATGAACTCAAGAGCCAAGTCCCTGAACTTGAACCTTAGCTTTACTGCTTTCTAGCTATATGATCTTGGCAAGTAATTTAACCTCTCTGTGCCTCAGTTTTCTTTTCTGTAAAATGGAATAACGCTACCTGCTTCATTTGTTGCGAGGATTAAATGAGTCACTACACATCAGAAGCACTTTGAGTAGCTTGTAATATGTTACGAGCACTCAAGGTTAACCTATAGATTCAGTATTTGAATTTACATGTTGTGTCATAATAGGTTGGGCTTGTTTCCATTTTTACCTTACGTTCCTCAAACAATGAGAATAAAAGTTTACACCTTTGTACAAAGCAGGAAATCTTTTCAATTCTGATCATATTCACTGATTTTTGCCTCTGACTTTTCCCTTATATTAAGTTACTAAATTTTGTGGTTAAAAATGTATATTACAGTGCATCAGCTGCCTATTTCTAGTGTCTATCAACTTCACCCATGCTTTATTGTCCCCTTAACTCCAGTAATAAGTATGGCTGAATCTTTAAGAAGTTATAATGTAATACTGATAGTTTTTTCTTCTGTCATTATAAGTCAGTTTTCCTTACAATATATCTTTTTTCGCTTCCTTCATGAGTGTGCTGTTTCCCCACACTAGCCAAAATCTCCAAAGATCTCTGTAAGTGTGAATATAAAAGGAAAAAAATACATTTTGACTAAGCTTACCTATTTATTATGATTTGCTATAACATGATCTTTTCGTATTTTCAACTGATTTTGACCTTGATTTGTTTTTATTTTCAAACATTTTTTCTCCATAGGTGTTTTCTGACATAATTTACACTGTTGCAAGCTGTACTGAAAATGAAGCTAGTCGATATGGAAGATTTCTTTGCTGCATGTTACAGACCGTGACCAGGTGGCATAGTGATAGAGCCACATATGAAAAGGTATGGCTAATAAATACACTTATCTAAATACAGTGACTTCTTCCAGTAATTTAGATTGTTTAGTTTTGAGAGGGAAGCTCAGTTTACAATTCATTTGTGAAACAGTGTTTAAAAGCACAATTTATTATTTTAAACCAATACTCCAAATTAATGTGACTCAGTAAACTAAAGCTTTCTACGAAAACTACCTATCATCCAAATACACATGATATTTTTATGAGGAGTCATTGCTCTAGTTTACTTAAGTTTCAGCTTCTGCCATTTTATGAGACACAGTTTTTCTTTAAAGTGGCAGTTTTTCTCCCTTTAGGAATGTGGAAACTATCCAGGATTTCTTACCATATTAACAGCAACTGGATTTGATGGTGGCAATAAAGCTGATCAGTTAGACTATGAAAATTTTCGACACGTTGTACATAAATGGCATTACAAACTAACCAAGGTAAAAAAAAAATAGATTTTTTAAAGGTGAGATTTTTTTTTTCTCTTCCTATCTGTATTTTACAATAATCTTAAAATGTTTCTTGTAGGCATCAGTACATTGCCTTGAAACAGGCGAATATACTCACATCAGGAATATCTTGATTGTGCTAACAAAAATACTTCCTTGGTACCCAAAAGTTTTGAATCTGGGTCAGGCTTTGGAACGAAGAGTGCATAAAATCTGCCAAGAAGAAAAAGAGAAGAGGCCAGATCTATATGCACTGGCTATGGGGTAACAAAATTATACTTTAATGTGATTTATGAGACTAGATGACAGAAGGATTCTGAAGACTTTAAAATGTTTTACAGTGTTGAAGTTTATCTTCTGCTTTACTTCAGGAGATTATGGGAGATTATGCGATCATGTTCCCACAGGCTGGTGAGAGTTGTCACTTCTGATTATCAACTTCCGGTCTATACTGGATGATAGTTTCAAAAGTCATTTATAATGTGTCTTGATTAGGCGGAAGTGTAATATTATCATCACAGTTGAGTTATCAGATCTTTACAAACAAAAAGAATTAAAAAATCATTTAGTTTAAGGATTAGTTTATATTGAAAATTTTATTTTTAAGGAAATACCCAGGGCTTGCTTTAAAAACTTTCAAGAACTTACTGAAAGTTAATATTTTTATTCTCTGAGACCAAGTAGTGGAGTGAATAACTTGCTAATTATATTCTTTGAAGTCCCATGTTTGTGCTTTTGATTTGTGTTTGTATATTTAAACACTTTGTGCGAATTTCAGCTACTCTGGGCAGTTGAAAAGTAGAAAGTCATACATGATACCTGAAAATGAGTTTCATCACAAAGACCCCCCTCCGAGGAACGCAGTTGCCAGTGTACAAAATGGTCCTGGTGGTGGGCCTTCATCATCATCGATAGGAAGCACATCTAAATCGGATGAAAGCAGTACTGAGGAGACTGGTATGCTTATTTGTAGAAATTCATAAATAGTACTTTTTGTTTTAACAAAGTGAATTGTTTTGTGTCACATGACAAGTACAGTGCTGGCATGGGGTTATATTTTATCCCCCGGGTAGGAACATGTAACTGCTAAGTTATCAGCTCACTCTAATTATTCTCTAGTCATTTTACTGTGAAATTGTAGTTTATTTACATTTGGGGCTTGTTAAATAAAACCTTACTTTTATTTCAGATAAATCAAGGGAGAGATCTCAGTGTGGTGTGAAAGCTGTTAATAAAGCTTCTAGTGCCACACCGAAAGGGAATTCAAGCAACGGAAATAGTGGCTCTAACAGGTGGGAACACTGTGCCATATGTCAGAAGTCTAAAGTCTTACATGATTAGCCTTTTTAGCTGTGAATGGAGGGTGTTAGTAGTTGAGTAATACGAAAGTCATTTATACTGTATCTGGAAATTTTAAATATGTCTTTATTTTGGTGATGTCTTACCATCTTAATTACATTTTATATCATTGTATTTGTATGATGACTTTGTTTCCTTTGGTGGGATATGTTAGTGGTGAAGTTAAAAAGACATTTTATGATAGAGTGATTGTTGGTGGACAGTCCGAGTAAGGATAGTTAATATGAGAAAAGCCTACACTAATTTAGGATAGAGATCCATCTAGCTAACCATTCTTTTTTCCTAATAGTATCTTTGATTGGTTTATGGGAGATATTTTTGGTTGTTGCCTTGTTACCGTCAATGATTATAAAGGTGTACAGAAAAGGGCCTGATGTTATTTTAATCATCCTTTTAAATCTGCTACTCATGAGTTTGTTTAGTATTTACTTAATAAAGAAGTACTGGTTAAGTATCCCTAATCTGAAAATCTGAAGTGCTCAAAATCAGAAACTTTTTGAGTACTGACATGATGCAGCAACTGGAAAGTTTCACACCTGACCTCACGTGACCGGGTAACAGTCAAATTTTTCCATTAAAGGAATAATCATATAAAATTTCCTTCAAGCTATATGTATAAGGCTTATATGAAAACATTAATGATTTTTGTGTTTAGATTTGGCTCTCGGTCCCAAAATACATCAGTATATGTATGCGCAAGAATTACAAAATGGAAAATCTGAAGCACTACCGGTCCCAGCCATTTTGGATAAGGGATACTTGACCTGTACTTCCTATTAATGTTGTCCTTGAGTTTTCAAAAGGCGCCTATTAGTGCTAGGGTGTTTGAAATTAATACAAAATCCTTTATAATTGTAAACATGGGATTTGTAGATCATATTAATACAAAATCCTTTATAATTGTAAACATCAGATTTGTAGATGACTGTTGTCTTAAAGTCTCATGTTTTTATTCTTAAGCAGTAAAGCAGTTAAAGAAAATGACAAAGACAAAGGAAAAGAGAAAGAAAAAGAGAAAAAAGAAAAGACTCCAGCTACTGCTCCAGAGGTCAGGGTACTTGGTAAAGATGGTAAAGAAAAACCAAAAGAAGAACGGCCAAATAAAGATGAAAAGGCAAGAGAGACCAAGGAAAGAACGCCTAAATCCGACAAAGAGAAAGAAAAATTCAAGAAGGAAGAAAAAGCTAAAGATGAGAAATTCAAGACTA